AGAAATAAAATGCTCATTTTATTAAAGGAAAAAAAAGAAAGAAAGAATGATCCTACAAAATAAATCTAAGGGGAATAAAAAGGTGTCTATGCTAGAGTTATTGGGGAAGTGATAAACAAAAGAAATAGAAAAAAAGAGGTCACAAAATCTTGTCGTTGAAGCTCGCCTTGTGTCGTTAGCTTTATCATCACTCACTCTTCTTGCTAGCTGGAGGTATGAGAAGCTTGTTATTATCGATCAAATGTTGGATAGCCTCTTTTAGCTTCCAACAGCTCTCAGTAGTATGACCCCTACCTTGATGGTACTTGTAATGTGCATCTGGATTCCAACTAGGCAATCTCTTTTCAGGTGCGGGATATTGAATAGGTCCAATGGGAGTAATGAGTCCCTTAGCATGGAGTCGATCGAAGGCAACATCGTAGCTCATCCCAATGGGGGTGAAGTCTTTCCTTAGTTGCTTCTTAGATCCTTGGTTATCCATGGCTAAAACTTCACTGAGATCAAAGGTACTAACATTGTTACAAGAGTGGGCGTTTTCGGAAGAAGAAGGATTGTCGTTCTACTTTCCTTTTTAGCCAATGTGGTTACCATCGTTAGTAGCTTTTTGCTTTGCGAGATCATCTTCGATCTCGATGCCTATGTCATAGATGGCCTTGAAAGTGTTCAAGTTGTGTTGATATTTTAAGTGCTTTGAATACTTTTCTTGTAAATTTTTTATGAACATCCTCACGGATTCTTTTTCAGTATGGACTTCGATCATGTTAGCATAAGTTTCCCTCCACTTGTTGAAGAAGGAGGTGAACCCTTAATTTTCTTTTTCTTTTAGCATTTCAAGTTTTATATGGTCGGTTTCAATTTGAATATTACACTTATATCTATCAATGAAAGAATGTTTTTGTTCCATCCCAGGTAGAGGTCTTCTCTTTATCAAGGGAGAAGAACCAATGTTGACAAATGGTTTCAAGAGATAGCCAGAACAAAGAGTGAAAAATATTCTTATCAATCCCTTTAATGTTCATTACAGTTACAAAGGACCTTAAATGAAAGTAAGGATTGTCAGTTGGCTTAAACTTAGGGATGTCATTGGCATTGAACTTCTGCGGAAGAAGCTTCTTGTCCACTGAGACCCCTTGTGAGCTTATGCCCTAGAATCTATAATCATTGGATATTTTACTCAAGCTTTCTTGTATGAGCTCCATTTGCTGTTGTTTCACAGGGTCATTGATTTGAAGGGTTAAAACCTTCAACACCTCAATCACGACAACCATTTGCTTCTTAAGCTCATTGACTTCTTCTTGACTTGCCATTATCTTCTTTGCTTTTTCTCTTTTGACGAATCGGTTTATCAAAAAGTTGAACTTGAATAAAGGTGTTGTCCTTGATTAATCGTCCTTCTCTCCTTGACCAAGTACTGTAGAAAGGGAAATTTGGGATAAGTTTTTATTATTTATTTTTTGGCTCAAGCTCAATTGAACATGCAATAGACTGAAAGAGTATATGGAAGAGAATAGAAATGGAATGGACCCTCAACTCAAATGACGGAAAAACGACTCATGCATGAATCTAAGACATGGCCATGGTGACATATAAAAAGTGTGTTCTAAGACTAGTGAGTGTAGGTGAAATTTTAAGACTCGTGTCATGACCGTGTGGCTAGACTAGGTGACTAGACTCAAGCAAAAACTAAGTTAAGACCTCACATATATGCATTAAACTGGACATGATGTGGTATTTTAGTCATAACTTTTGATCTGTGACTCTGATTGGGACGAAACCAACGCTAAATTAAAGATAAAACTCAGAGCTACAGATTCATAGGTTGTATAACTCGTAACTTTTTCTAGAACTCTGGATATGACCAAAACCAGTTGACGCTTGTGCAATATACGGGAATAAAAATCCGGGTTGACTCAAAGGAACTATGACTCGATTTTAGACATATTTACTGGCTCAAATTAATTAATCTGTTAATTAAGCAAAGCCCTTTAGTCATTAATAAGTTAATTAAGACTAATTTAAAAACACAAGTCAAACCAAACGGTTAGTTTAGTCACATAATAAGTATGCACAAGCAAATAATGCACAAGTAGTCAAGTAGGCACAATATGATGCAATGAGTTTGCAACATAACCATGACTCTAGCTCTCTAAAGTTCAAGGATATGGGTTAGTCAAAGAGGGTCCATGGTTATGAGTCCGGATGCACCGCGCAGAAGCCTTACCTTTGGAAGGGTCGGCGCGTGTGGATGGGACCCCGCGAGTTAAACTCGCTTCCATGGTTTGGTGAATTCAACATTCTCAGATGTACCCTTTGTTGCTCAGAGCGTTCAATCGGGTAGATGGAGCATGAATTCCCAGAGGGTTATGTCCATATGTAGAACACATATGGGTTTCAAAAAAAAGAGAAAAAATCAATCAGGAAGTAGAATCGAGCCAACAGTGCTAGAACTAGTCGAAACAAGAAGGCAGATTTCTGGCTCGGTATTAGAAGAACACAGCGCTAGACAACATAGTCCGTCGCCGGGATATAACCCTGTTGCCAATCGACAATGTTGTCGCCAGGCGATAGAGCCATATCATTGGCAGCATGCTCTGTTTTCTAGAAACTAGTTCCTACACGCCTCAACAGCTTTCTGTGCTCTTAGAATTTTCCAGTTTTTGCAATATTATTTTGATTCTAGTTGTGAAAGTTATTTCTCTGATTTCCTACGTGTAAAAATCTTATTTTTTTACTCATTACGGATGGTCTTTCCAATGAGAACCTTTTTTATGCATATGACAATAATGTTAATCAAAATTATGCACATGAAATACTTAGAACTTTTCGAGTCTCATCCACTCATTCTAAATAATTGCCAAAATAAATTTTAGAAAATTAAAATAGAAATTCTCCCCAGCGGAGTCGCCAAAAACTGTAGTGGATATTTCAAGTATTACCCCAAACTTGAACCCCACAATGATCATACACTTAACATTGGTGGCATCAAAAAGGAAAGAAGCTAGAGCAAAAGAGTCACCAACAAGTTTTAGGAACTTGTAAACTGTTCACAAGGTGAAGGTTACACCCCTTAACGATCCACGAGATCGTTAACTCCAATAGGTCTGGAACCAAGACTGGAAGTTTGGCGATGAAGGTACAAATCCAATCTAAAAGAGAAAGAACTTGTCCTAATAATAGGCCTTTACTTTATTCTACTCGTATTCATGTGCACTTTCTGACTAACATGCAATCATCAGGTTTACCCTAAACCTGTTTATCTATGTTGGTTGACTATAATTGCACAAACAAATCTATTATTGGCGATCACTTGAATTATAATCATATTATCCCTAAAGTGGATTATTAATTATCTTATTAAGCATGATTACAAGTACCAATTCCCTTTAGACATGTATAAAAGGTGTGATCAAGCAATAACAATAATAATATACATCAAGTAATATAATAATCAAAATTAAAATAATCATGTTAACAATAATGCATAATAATATTAGCAAGATCCTAGGCATGATACTAACAAGATTAATAACAATCCCTAGCATGTCACTAAACAATAAAGATCAACACTTTAGCCCTAACATGATACTAACATGATATTAGGAAAGAAAACAGGAAGCATAATAGAAATCATAATTGATATTAGAAAGATAAAAATACCCCACGTACGTGGACCAATCCTGTAGCAACATGTGGCCCAATCAAAGGGTGACACGTGTCACTATGGGAAGATATCGCGTGTCCAAGCATAAAGAGCCCTTGAACTCAGCATTAAAAAGGTCTTATTAAATCATGGCCCAAATCCCGAGAGATATTCATGAAAGCCGCAAAACGGCGCCCCATATTACACGTGGCATCGCGTGATTGCGCAGCCAATCACGTCACTGAATTTTAGGGTATAAACCCTAAAGGGGCACAAACTCCCACCCCTATAATTACCCCAATCATTTATGATGGGAGAGGGGGATTACGACATTACAAGCAAGAGCATTAAATAGCTCCAACTTCTCTCTATTTTCTCTCTCTAGCCTTTTCCGTTTCAGATCTTGAACTTGATCGTCGGAGGCGAATATTCCGGTAAAGGAATATTCGTTCATTTTGCAGGTGTCCCAGGCTTATTGCCTAAAGAGCTTGATTAGTATCTGAGGAAATCCAAAAAACACCGAAAACATTTGGCGCCGTCTGTGGGGATACTCGTCCGCTATGGCAATAGATGGTCAGACACCCAACCCTGGCCCTCGTCCAGGTGAGGACAGCCATGTAGAGGAAATAATCTCTACAATTCTTACCAGCGATCTGTTGACCGCCTCGTTTCAAGAGGCCGATGATCCTCCTGTTACCGCTGCCTCTCTAAAGGTCGCGCTCAACAAACTTCGGAAGGAGTTTGAGGGCAACCGAGCTTCTACCTCTAGACAGCCGCTCGGGAAGGAAGGAGAAAGAGCTCCAAAGAAAGCTCAAAACAAAGCAACCAATGCAACAGATGCTAGGAACACCCCATTTGTCGACCGAATAGAAGGTCTTCAAGGGTACCATGGACGAATTTCTCTAATCTGTTGGCGAAAACCCAGACGGCAGGGGGAGGAGTAGACGGCCTTGAAGAGAGGAGACTGAGCCGTCTAGAAGATGGAAGGATGTAAGGGACTACCTCCGGCATAAGCAGCGGGAACGTGTCGCTTACTCGGACACGACCTCAACTCCCACAATGCCGGATGAATTTTCTAACCACTCCATTTCCTAGCATAGCAATTCGGCCATCTCCAGCAGGAGTCAAGTTGTGCGTACTCAAACCCCCATTCCAGTGCAATCGCCTCAGTATTAACCCCTTCAGGGTTTTAACGGCATTCTGCAACCGAGCCCCCAGGTCTTCGGATTATATGGGTCGTTCGGTCAGAAGTTCGGCCAAACTCCCTATTTGGTCGGACATCATGTGCAACCTCAGCCAATTGATTGGCAGACGATTACTAACTCTTGGAGATAAGCCACCTCCGTTTTCGCAAGCTATTTTAACTGCTCCTCAGCCATCGAAGGTGAAAAGTGTACTCGTGGGAGCCTATGATGGCACGGGCAACCCCGAGGAACATATCACCTCGTACAGAAACCTGATGTACTAACAAAGTGTAGATGATGCTACCTGGTGCAAATGCTTCTCGGCCACTTTGAAGGGTGTGGCGCAGGATTGGTTCAATAGCCTTCCGGTAGGCTGTATCAATTGTTTTACTACTCTTAGTTTGTTGTTCGTGGGAAATTTCTCTTACAACATACCACCTCAAAAGATAAGTCTTAATTTGGCAACAATTGTCTAATTAAGGAAAAACAGAGGGCCTATAGTCGTACGTCTAGAGATTTAACCAAGAAAAAGCTCAAATTCATATTCTGCTGGATAAAATGGCTTACTATGAATTTCTCCAGGAATTAAGGCATAACGGTTTTAAGTTTGAGTTGGTAAGAAAAAAAATTCGGACATACGCAGGTGTTCCACGAAAATCCGAAGATTATATTGAGGCAGCCAACTTTTGTTCTCTTACAAAAGCAGAGGCACCGACCAAAGGAGTTGAGAAGAAATAATCTACTCAGCAAGACTTGGCTAAAAAAAAGAAAGATGGAAACAAAAGGAAAGAAGTCTAGGTGGCCGACGGTCAGCAGCAAAAATCCAAGAAGGTCAAGACGTACGAGCCCTAGTATAAGTTCAACAAAGAATGATACTCCATCCTGATGGAGATTAAAGACAAATTTGAATTTAAAAAGCCCCAGTCGCTAAGAGGCCCGGCTCAGTACAAAAACAAGAACAAGTATTGTCATTACCACAAGAACGTGGGTGTAGGGAATATTTCAAGCATTATCCCAAGCTTGAACCCCACTGTGATCATACACTAAAGTACGGTGGCGTCCAAAGGGAAAGAAGATAGAGCAAAAGAGTCGCCAACAAGTTTTAGGAACTTGTAAACCGTCCACAGGGTGAAGGTTACACCCCTTAACGATCCAGGAGATCGCCAACTCCAATAGATCTGGAACCATGACTGGTAGTTCGGGGATGAAGGTACAAATCCAACCTAAAAGAGATTGAACATGCCCTAATAATAGGCCTCTACTTTATTCTAATCATATTCATGTGCACTTTCTGACTAACATGCAATCATTAGGATTAACCATAAACCTAATTAATCTATGTTAGTTGAATATTAATGCACAAATAAAGCTATTATTGGCGATCACTTGAATTATAATCACATTAACGCTCCAAAAGATTATTAATTATCTTATTAAGCGTGAATACAAGTACCAATTCCCTTTTTTTTGGTAAATAGAAATTTTATTACCAAAAGAAACTGCAAAGCAGCAGGAAAAAACAAGCACTCAGGCCAAAACTCCAAAACACCACACGTCCACAAGGGCAATCAAACCCCGGGCAAGGCCTAAAGTCTAGAGGCCACCTTCTAGGAAGGGTTCCAAAGTACCAAGAACCAACAACAGGCCCAACTGTACACTAAGGAGACGAGCTACCTTCTAGGAGGATTACCCGAAACCAAAGGAATAGGACAAAACAAAAACGAACAAAAACAAAAAAATCCTAACAAATAAAACAGCCAAACCAAGAAAAAACAAACTGAAAACACCAAATAAGCACCAAAAAACAGCAGACTCAACATAATAGCAGCAACTAGCCATGACTGCAACCATAAATAGCCAAACCCAGCACCACAACACGAAAACAGCAAACCTGACAGCAACCGGCTAGGACAACAGCAACAGGTCAGCACAGATTCAGCAGCAAAACCAGCTCTGGCCTTAACAACCAGACAGGCAGAGCAGCAGCTAAAACAAAGCAGCAGCATCCACCTAAGAAACAAAATCAACGCCCAAAGCCAGAACCCAAACCAGAAGGCAGCAACCCAGGAACAAACCAGAAACAGCAAAACAGAAAATCAAGAAAGAATAAGTTTGGTTCTATCAGCATCTTGACATCTACAAGCAACTAGAAACATGATTTTCTTGACAAGAGCATCAACTAATTCACACACTCCATTAAATATGGTATTGTTCCTCTAAGCCCAAATATAGTACACAGCTTCAGCAAGAAACATGAGATGTAGCCTGCCCTTTGAAGTGGACTTTCTGCAATATTTAGCAGCCCATTGAACCTCTTGAGTAAACCCCTGAACAGGTTTCTGAATCTATAGAACAGAAAGCAGTCTTTCCCAGATTCTGGAAGAATAAGAACACAGGAAAAACATGTGATTTACACTCTCAGGCTCATGAAGGCAGAGTAAACAAATGGGGTCACAGGAAGGGTTCCATTTGAGCACTCTATCCTTAGTTAAAAGCCTGTTCCAATTAGCAAGCCACAGAATAAAAACACTCCTAGGAGAAGCATTACTATTACAGATTACCCTTCTCCAGGGAACCTTCTCCTCTTGTTTCCTGATTTTATTATAAATTTTTTTAATTTGAACTTTATTGTTCTTCAAGAGAGAATCCCAACCTCTAATATTATCAATAGTGCTCCTACACTTCATGATTTTCTTTAAATTCCAGGAACATTTATTAGGGACACAAGAAGACCAAAAGTCATGCTGTTTGAAATAATAGGTGTGAACCCATCTGACCCAAAGGGAGTCAGATTTATGAGCAATGTCCCATAAAACTTTACAAACTGCAGAGATATTCCAGTCATGGAGAGCAATAACATTCCAGCCACCACAAGATCTTGGCAAACACACAGTGCTCCAGGCAACTAAAGCTCTTCTGGAAGGATTAGAAACCCCAGTCCATAAAAAAGCTTTGAACCTGCTTTCAATCTCCCTCAAGATCTTTTTAGGCAATACAAAAATCTAAGCCCAATAAGTCTGTATACCAAATAAAACACTTTTAATGAGTTGAAGTCTCCCAGAGTAAGAAAGAAATCTAGCAACCCAAATCTCAATTCTGGAAGTGATCCTTTGGACAAGGGGCTTACACTGCTGAATGGTGAGTTTCTTTGAGGATAAAGGAACCCCGAAATATCTAAAAGGAAGAGAACCAGCCACCATACCCAGCACAGATAACAGGGCATTCTGTTCAGTAGCTTGAATACCACCAAAGTAAACTTCACTTTTGCTGAGGTTAGCAACCAAGCCAGAAGCAAAGGAAAACTTCTTAAAAGCATTAAACAAGAGTTGGAAAGAATGCTCATCAGCCCTAGAAAACATAAGAAAATCATCTGCAAACATAAGGTGAACAAGAGAGAGCTTCTCACATCTAGGGTGAAAATTAAAATCAGGAACCTTACTTAACACATGAAAACATCTAGACAGCTATTCCATGCCCAAAGCAAACAAGAAAGGAGACATGGGGTCTCCTTGTCTGAGACCTTTCTTAGCACAGAAAGGGGGGGCTGGGGCTACCATTGATAAGAATACAGAAAGAAACAGAAGTTATACACCCCATAATCCACCTAATAAACAAATTTGGGAAACCCAACTCCTCCATAACAGACCTTAAAAAACCCCATTCAATAGAGTCATAAGCCTTTTTCAAGTCCACCTTAATCATGCATCTAGGGGAAATAAATTTATGACTATAACCCTTAATTAACTCAGTAGCAAGCAAAATATTATCACCAATATGCTTCCCAGGGATGAAACCAGCTTGAGCTTCATCAATAACCTCTCCAACCAATCTGGCAAGCCTAGCAGTCAAAATCTTAGAAATAATTTTATACAACACGGTGCAGCAAGCAATAGGTCTAAAATCCTTAACAAAAGTAGGATTTTGAACCTTAGGGACAAGAGTCACAATAGTACAGTTCCACTGAGTATTCATAGTGCCAGTATCAAAAAAATCGTGAACTGCCTCATAAATATCAAGCTTGATTATGTCCCATGTGTACTTGAAAAATTTAGCATTAAACCCATCTATTCCAGGGGCTTTGTCATCACCTATACCCTGAATAGCACAATCAATCTCAGCATTAGTAATAGGAGAGGACAGAAAGACCTGAGCATCAATAGAAAGGCATTTGCTAGCCCTCATAGTCACAAGATCAACAGCATTCAGAGTATGAGAAGTGGAACCCATCAACTGTTTATAAAAGGAGATAATTTCAGTTTCAATCTCAGTGGGATCCTTTAATAAAAGTTGTTGATCAGTCAAAATAGAGTCAATTCGATTCCTAGACTACCTGTGTTTCATCATAGAAAAAAAAATACTTGGTGTTAGAGTCACCAAGAGCCACCCACTCAATCCTGGATTTCTGTCTATACACACTTTCCTGCACTGACCTCCAGTATTTGAGGCTCTCAATAGCATCAGTCTCTTGTTCCATTAAAACAGAATTGCTAGGATTAAGGACCATTTGATCCTGAACATCAAGCAAAGCCAACTGCGCATCACAAACTCTCTGGTCAACATTATTGAAAGAATGCTTATTAAGCGTTTTCAACTGAGTCTTCAAGTTTCTGAGCTTGTTCCAAACCCTGGACATAGCATTACCAGGGACTCCACCACTCCAACTTTCCTGAACCAACCCTAAGAAATCAGGGTGAGAAATGAGGCAGTTAAAAAATCTAAAAGGCCTTCCTTTACTAGGAGGAGCAGGACACACTTCATACATAAGAGGAGAGTGACCAGAGAGGGAAGGAGCCAGATAGTGAGCCTCAACAGTAGGATAATGAAGTAACCATTCAAAGTTCACCAATCCTCTATCCATTCTAGTGAGAGTACGGGGTCCAACATGAGCCTTATTAGACCAAGAATAGTAGGACCCTTTACTTTTTATCTCAACAAAGTTCATAGAATCCACAAAATTCCTGAAATCCCTGATTTCATAATCAGTCACATCATTGCCATTGATCCTGTCTTGATGTTGCAAAACCGAGTTGAAATCGCCTGTGCATAGCCAAGGCAAAACAGCAGGACCAATAGCCTCAATACTAGACCAAAGACCCTTCATGTCCTGTATGCTATGAAGCCCATGCACAAAGGTAACATAAAACTGTTGTAATCAATATTACTAATACAACAGTGGATAAACTGATTGTGAATAGTAATAACCTCAACACGCATCTTATCACTCATCCACCCCAGCCAAATTCTACCTTTTCCAGAACAAGAATAGTTACAAACCCAATTTAAACCATACCCAATTTTCCTTTGCAATCCTGTACTCTTATGTTGTTTAACTTTAGTCTCAAGCAAACATATCAGATTACTTTTAGTCCTGTTCAACAGCTGCCTAACATCAGCTACTTTAGAGGGGTCATTCAAACCCCTCACATTCCATACAGTGATAATCATGACTTTAAAGGGGGCCCACCCCCGCTTGGTTTGTCATTAGCATGATTCACATCCTCAACCTCATCCACAGGCAAGACAGAAAAAGCATTAGTTGTGTGGACCTCATTCAACTTGTTGTTAACCGTATCACCCCTTTTCTTCATTGTATCCCATCCATCTCTATCAGCAGGAACTGTAGAGGTATTAGTTTTCACCTTTTGGACCCATGTTCGCAGTGGCTGGACCTTATTTGTAGGGTGTGTAGTCTGTTTCACCTTTGACTCAGTACACATATGCCCTACCTTATGACATTTAGTACAGTATGGTGGGGTCCACTCATACTCAACTATCAATTCCACCATTTCACCTCTTGGGCTTTCAACCCATACAGATTTAGCTAGGGGTTTAGTAATATCTATCTCAATTAGCATCCTAACAAATGAAACTCTTAACTGCCTGGATGTGCATTCATCAGCACAAATTGGCACACCCAAAATACTTCCAATTCTACTTAAGGTCTCAGCACCCCAGCAATTAAGAGGGAGATTAGGGAACTTAACCCATAAAGGAATAGTTCGAAGGATCTCAGCATGAAAATCAAATTTCTCAGACCATGGTTTCACAATTGCTGGCTTCCCTATAAACATATAAGGACCCCCACAAATCACATAATTAAGATCATCCTCATTACACAAGTTAATTATGAAATATCCCTCATCATGCCAAAAAACATCCGGATTATTATGGATACCCCATTCATCACCAATAAACCTTTTAATCGAAGCAATTGTTGGGTAATAGCCAACAACAAACAACACTATAGCATTTTTCCATTTTTTAGACCCTTCTTCAATTTCACTAGAAGGAAGGACAGCAATCTGCTTACCATCTCTAATTACAGGGGGGGCATAACTCAGAGAGGCCCCTTTTGCATTCAATTTCCCAGTGAAAATATACTCCTCAGGTGATTGATGATCAGTAGCAGTAGGATCGACACCAGGATGCTTGATAGAAGAGGGCCCAGCCTTATTTTCCCCAGCAGACACATGAACAGAAGCATCGAGCTGATTGCTTATCAATGGAACAGTAACCGAAGAACCTGGTACTGTTCCATTGGATTTTGGACCAACTGAGCCAAAATTGAGAGCAAGAAGTTGAGCATCCCTTCGAGTAACCTTCCCAGCAGAAGGATGGACTAAGCCTGGAGCAGGGGTAACCAACACATCTCCTTCATCAAAAACTTCATGCACTGTTTGAAATCCAGCAGAAACCGGTACAAAGAGGGATTCAGCAATTTCCTTTGAGATATTAGTAGGAGCAGAAGTAGCCTGCTTCTTCTTTCTAGCCATGAGAGTTGATTAATCGAAGAAAAACCAATTTAATCAAGCAACCATGGATGAAAACCAAGCTTTCTCTCTCTAGGGTTTCTCTTTCTAGGGTTTCTTGTCAGTACCAATTCCCTTTAAACATGCATAAAAGGTGTGATCAAGCAATAACAATATACTTCCTCCGTTTCTTTTTACTTGCAACACAACCTTGTGGCACGTGTTTTGAGGTCGGGTTTATGTAATGTAAACAGATAAATTATTCATTATAATTTTTACAAATGATACTTAACCCTATTCTAATCTTCGTGTAAAAATTATATTGATAAAATCGCTCGTTTACCCTCACTAATCATCTCCTAAAACTGTGTGCCTAAAAGGTGTGTTGCAAGTAAAAGAAAACGGAGGAAGTATATAATAATAATAATAATAATAATAATAATAATAATAATAATAATAATAATAATAATAATAATAATAATAATAATAATAATAATAATAATAATAATAATAATAATAATAATAATAATAAATATTAATAATTAAAATAATCATGTTAAAGCATAATAACAAGATCCTAGGCATGATACTAACAAGATTAATAACAAACCCTAGCATGTCACTAAGCAATAAAGATTAAAGCTTTAACCCTAACATGATACTAGGAATCATAATAACCACCTAAACATAATTTCTATATCATGATATCAATTAAACAATTAAAGCACTTACTTGGATGCCTCGTATCTCTTTCTAATAACAAAATACACACGTTAGTAACTTCAAGGAAAATAATAAAAATAAAACAATTAAATTAAATAATTGAAAGAGAGATTTGGGACCAAACCCTCAGAAATTAAAACCTTTCACGTCTAGGGCGAAAGCAACTTTGAACTTGGCTAGGTGTGTCTAGTTCTAATTTATGAGGAATTGTGTTTGTAAAAAGTTAGGCTTAGAAAGAGAGAGAGAATCAAGAATTTCTTGATGAGAGTTTGTGAGTAGAAAAAATTAGAAAGAATAAGAATTGATGAGAATTGATGATTTAAAACGGAGTTTTTAGGAGGCTATTTATAGAGAAAATCAGCCAAAAAGATAGAAAATCGAACCAGAGTTTCAACGAGAATAAAACACGATTAGCGACAAACGCTAGTCAATAGCGCCAGACGCTGGTAGCGTCAGGCGCCAAGCCTTAGCGCCAGGCGCTAATGTTTAGCGTCAAGCGCTAATAATCAGTTTCACACGTTTTTGTTTTTATCATATCTTTTGATCCAGAAGTCCAAATAAGGCATATAATATGTCGTTAGAAAGCTCCTGAAGTCTAAATTCCAAAACAGTTAGAATCATATTAAAATATTCTGTATATAAAAAGATATAGCCGAAATAGTGGAAGGGTGTCAGTTTTGGATAGAGTTTCATATCTCATTCATATCTTTTTCGTTATATCTCGGATTTAATATTATAATATATCATTGGAAAGATAATTTCAATATCTATCCAACCATATAAAATTTGGATAAATATTATGAGGAACAAAAATAATATCTAACTTTCTTTGAACTTCTTTAAATTCGAATAGAATTAGGATTAAAAAAAAGTAAAGTTTTTATAAAAGGAAAGTTTTTATTAAAACTCAAATTCTTTAATCTTATCTTTTCAAAAAGGATATTAAGATCTTGTTGAAACTTATAGAAGCTTCTAATTAATCCTAATTAGTTTAGGAATAGGATTAGACCTTTGAACCCTCCACATGATCATTGGATCGTAGGTAAAATCCGGTTTGGGCCCAGTTTAGTATTTTGTCCATAACTTCCTCATTATTCATCGGAATTAGGCTTATAATATATAGTTGGAAAGGTCTTTTCAAACCCTATCTAAATACACTATTATTGGACCAATGGACCAACCAAACTAGATTGGATGTTTTCTTAAAATAGGTTTTCAAAAACAGAGAGAAAAGAAAAGAAATTAAAACTATCCGCAACACTAGACTTTCCAACTTTCACTTCATTCGATTATGATTCGACGTGAAAGGTACTCATCACTGGTTTTGGTTTCGGGGAGACACAAATGGGTGTCTACAGAAGCCCTCACTATGACTGAGTTTGGAGAAACGCCAGTTTCGAAAACAAAAGTCGAAGTATCGATAGGGACGGAGAATGATTCAGAACGTTCTGCGATCCTAAACCATTCTTGCAACGCCGATACCTATAAACTAGCGTTAGTTAAACAGATAAAAGAGTTCAGAAATGCGTATCTTGCACCGTCGAGCACACGTCTCTGTAGGTTAACGATTTGTTGTGACGATCTTCCGCAAGCTAGAGAATATCGCCTGAAGACTGTTACGCCTGTAACTGCCTCCAATTCCGCCATAATAGTCTTCAAAAAGATCACTGCTTGTTGATCCTTAATGATGCTATGCCAGCACGTCGGTGCTTTGTTGCTTGTGAACCAGTATGTCGGTGCTTTTGCTGTGATGATAATCCTCTTTTCTTTAGGAATAGTTCCAACATAACTCTTGTATGATGTATGACAATCCAATTTAGGGAAAGTAGTCAATGCTACCTAACAATCCATCCTTGGAAATGTTGCCACGATGAAGCGACAATCCGTAACTCGGAAAATTTGCCAAAATTCAATTTTGGGAAAAGTTGCCAATGCTTCGTAACAATCTGTCATAAGAACTTTTCTACGATCGACAATCCACATCTTGGAATATAACTCTTGAAAGCAATCCACCTTGGAAATTTTCCAATGCTATGTGACAATCCTTTTAGGAAAATATTGCCACAATTGACAATCCGTGTCTTTGAACATTTGCCAAAAAAGAGTCGACCGGCAATCCACTTCGAGAAAATGCCACTTGCTGAAATGAATGACAATCCACGTTGAGGAACCTTTGGCGAAATTTATGATGAGTAGAGACCTACGACAATCCTTTGGGAAATTTTGCCATAGGGAACTGGGTGTATGACAATCCAATTTCGGAAAACTTGCCAAAGATCCATGAATGTATAACAATCCGAAGGAAAAACTTGCCAAACAAAGAAGAAGCACGACAATCCACACTTGGAAACTTTGCCAGGGATGACAATCCAATCTTGGAAAAATTGTTGTTTGAAGAAGATGCGCGACAATCCATATTTGGAAATATTGTCAGTTGGGGATGACAATCCAATTTTGGAAAAATCTTCGTTCATGAAGAATGCGCAACAATCCATATTTCGAAATATTTTCATTTAATAAGAATGCGGGACAATCCGTATTTGGAAGTATTGTCGTTTAAGAAGAATGCGCGACAATCCATATTTGGAAATATTGTCGTTTAAGTGCTTGCTTTTAAACTGATACATTGGTGCTTGTAATAAGCCAGTGTTTTAGGCGCTTAAGCTAAGTAAGACGATTTTTTGTCAGTTCAATCACTTACTATGATTGTAATCGAGCCGACTACTAATCTTGTCAATTTGCTTATAGGGGCTAATTGGCGTACCAAGGAACCCGAAATTGCTATATGAAGTCAAAATTACCAATCTGAGAGGCTTCGAGCTCTGTCGCTGCTGAAATATCTCTAGCGTCAAGAATAAGCTATGTCACCAAACGCTGAGATCTAGCGCCAGGCGCTAAAATCTGTCGCTAAATGCCAGATGTTGTTTTCTGGCGCTGGAATCGGGTCTTTCCTATTCTGCTCTTGCTACCGCT